ATGTATGTATATGTATATGCATGCATACATGCATGGATGCATGCATGGATGCATACATGCATGGATGCATATATGCATGGATGCATATATGCATATATGCATGGATGCATGGATGCATGCATGGTTGTCGCCCATCATCAGGTCCTAAAGCCCTCAGCTTCCTCGGCAGAATTCAACTCAGAACTAACTCAAACTGGCTTCTTCCAGTTTGCACTCAGCATTCAGCTGTGTGTGTTGTAGACACTATTTGGCATTGTCACAGGAGACAAAACATTTCTTTCTGGGAGAAATCTGTTTACTGGACAGAGTGGTGTCTGTGTCAAACAGACATGCATCTGTTTCCTTCTGCTCAGGAGAGGAAAAGAAGTCAGCTGAATTAAAACTGGTGTAAAAATGAATGACAGTTCAGAAATCATCATCAGATTACAGTATGATAATACACAACTGAAATAGAAATACCTTTAAAAAGGAAAACCATGTTAATGATTATTTTTTTTATATAATAATGAATCTTAAAAGATTAAAACAGACTGTCATGTCAACATTATCTGCAGACAAGGACTGATTATTGAAGCTAATATAGAGTCAGGTCATGCTCAGAACTCCTGGTTAGGTTGTTGGCTAGTTGGCACTGCTAGTTGCTTAGCCAAGAGCTTACAAATGTTAGTCGGGTATTGTTTGGAATTTATCACAAACCTTTGAGACTATTAAACCTTTACGGCAGATTATTATAACATCCAGACTATCACAGATTTTATTAACCTTCAAAATTAGAACTCGTTTCCACAAGCATGCAATAGGCACTAGCTTATGCTAACAACACAAGCAGGCCTTTAGCCTTAAGCTCAGAATGATGCGTCAGCCGTAAATCAGTGCCCAAAACAGCCTGTTACGGATTTAGTTTTACTGAGAAACTCACAAATCTTTCATAAATATGCCACAAATTTCAAACACAGCCAAAACAGAGCAATTTACAGCCTAATGTCACAGATACACAAGCAAGCCCCCTTATTTTCAGCTGAAATAAAGTATTTGAATGCTTTAAAATACTAATCAAAAACATTCTTTTGTTGAATATTCATTGCATATCATAAGAATTTTGCAGTCAATCACAAGAGGTACCATACTGTACGTAAAATAAAATAGACTCAATATTGATTATAACTTGAGTTTGGAGGGAAGATGTAAAGATCTTGGTCAGATTAAAAGTTAGTATTTTAATTTTTACTGCAGATAAAAAAAAGTGCTTCGGCTATTGAGTATACCAACTGCTTTACGAATCTGAAAGTAATGCATTGACGCAGACAGCTCACCACAGAAGATTGCTCAAAATCTTTTTTCAAAGTTTTGCCATTAGCTATTCGTAGTCAACTCTGTTAGCAAAATATCTTATGACCCACTGGATGAGTTTTATG